GCTATTTGACAACTACCATATCTCCCACAATTAAATGTATAATTTCTTCAAAATGTTAGACATGTGCATCTAAGAATGTACACTGTTTGCATATTTTATTGTACAGAATGTGGTCATAGTTCTCAAAATATCTCCCATACTATATAAAATATTTTTGTTGTTGCTTATCTGATCCTGTGGGAGCTCATTTCATAATGTTCATGAATACATCATACAAATAAAGGACTGCTCATCCTACCTGGACAGATGAACAAACACAAACCCCTTCAACCTCAGCCCACTACCTGGGAGTAAAGATGGTCTTTCCAGAAGCCCCAGAAGGTCAACAAACCTAGCATCTGATGGACCAAGTTGGGCAGGGTGAGTTCCAAAGCTGATCCAGTGAATTCTGCACTAGCTTCAGTTTCGGAGCAGTGTCAAGGTGTGGCTCCAGTGGGGAGCTACATTACAGCAAGCTAATCTCAAAATGACAAAAGGTGTGGTTAACAAAAGCCAGGTTCACATCAAAGAGAAAAAAGGCTGAATTCCTCATCAAGCACAGACTGAGAAAATGCTCCTGGCCAGAGCCACTTTTCAGGCACCCAGCAGCAGCCCAGGATCTACCACCACATCCAACTGTACCTGGTGCGCACAGATATAAATTCTGCCAGTTTTTCCAGCATGAGCAGAATATCTCAGTAACCACCACAGCTGGAGACTTCCATTTTAAAAATAAAAGTCTGCTTACATAGAGAACAAGGCAGCAGCATGGAAGAGGTACTGGAATGCCTTACTGCAGCACATCACATGAATCCACTTGTAATGTAGTTTTCTATGTAGTTTTGAACAACAAAATAAAAGGCAACATGTTCTTCTGGACCCCCCTACAAATCCTGATAAAGCAGCATGATCTTCTGAAGTACAGTTACGGTTATCGGATGTGCAGAAAGACAGGGGGGGGGGGGGGGAAAGTGTGGTGCTCTTTGGTGGGTCACATCCAAAGCCACAATGGACCTTAAGTACAGAGTCTCATACAGATTTGCAGTAATGCAATTCTTAGGACTCCATCCAATTTAAATGTTAAGTGTGACAGCAATGCACAAGAACAGAAGTTTTATACAGACACCTACGTCCATATCCATGCATACACACACTGTAGGAAGCAATCCCACTATTGGCAGGCTGAGGGACCATATCACCTAACAGGCCTTTCCTTTCCCTCTAGTTTATGTGGTTGTACAACTGAGTGAGCATACCATATTAGAACTCAGTTAGGGATATGGTCTTGGTTAGGTCAGGCAATGAGGCACATCTAGTATCGCTTTTTCTTGCATAGCTTACAGGTAAATAGGCTGGGCATAGACATTTTCTGTTAACTTCTGTTCATAGTACAGAGTAGCTCAAATATTCACTGAGAAGAAAAATCTACCGGTTCTGTTTCCAGAGTTCAGTAACCAATTACTTCATTCCATTACAGAAATGGTGATTTTGACCCAAATGACACAAAAAAATTCCAAGAACAAAGAAGTGATCGTATACTATGGAGACAGACTCAGTCCTGGTGTGGAGCAAACAAAATAAGGAACTTAACCTCTGTTGTTGTAAGCTGATATATGGAGGAAGCTGTCATTTTGTCGCTGTCAACTTGAACATTAAAAAAAACAAAACAAAAACACCACACACACCCTTTACCCCACTACTGGATTTACATGATGGTAAAAAGTAGCCTGCACATACAGATAGGTAGGGTACATGGGGGGGAAGAGGCAAAAAATAAAAAATGAAAAACAAATCTAAAAAGACAGTCTTCCCCCATAGAGCAATTCTGACCTAGAGGCTGGAACAGTGTCTGTGGAATGGGAGCTTTTGGGGCTTTATTAAGCTTTAAAAGTGTCCAGAAAACCATGCTGTAGACACGTTTTTGAAAACTTGCTCTTCATGCCTCATTGAAAAGCGTGCTCACATTTTTTTAGTATTTACAAAGATTAAAAAAAAAAAAATGCATCTCAAGCCTCCATTTTGAATAGACTATCCAACTGCTGCAGAGGTTATTCTGGTGCCAAAAGAAAAGTAACAAGATGAAAATCTTGGGGTATGCAGCCTAAATGGAAAAGTAAATTTCAGAGAGTTGCAAAACTGTAATCCTGAACTTCAAATACTGTGTAGCAAATCAAGATTTTGCAAATGCACCAATTTACACCCAAGATTGAAGCCTTCTATTGGGCAGGTAAACAAGACTCTAAAACAAGCTGTTTTAATCCCTTTTGCATTAGTACTTAATGACAGAAAATTAAGACACTTATCACTAAAAAGAGTCAATGCTTTGTAGCAGGGGAAAGGAGAGAAAAGGAAGCCAATCCATAGTAGTACAGATCCAACATTCAGCCATTTGGATTTTAATCAAGGGCTCCTCATTTGGATTAACTCCAAACCAACTGGATTAGACCAGCTGGATTAATTCCAAACTAGATTGGGAAAAGCACTCAGAGTTTTGCTGTAAAGAGCAATCATTCTGTGGTGGGAAGATTATTGGATAACCCTTAAAAATTGATTGGATAATCCGTAAACAGTCTATGTCACAAAGAATATCCTAACAAAGATTTCTGGCCCACTCTGGCAACCGTGGTAGGATCTTCCCACCAACCAACATCTTTAAAGATGGCTATAGCTGCCATGGTTCTGGTCCCAGTGTGGAGATGGCCACAGATGAGGTGTCTAGACACTTCCTAAACCCAAGAAAATCCTATTACATTAACAGTTTAGCAGTTCTGTTGCCATGAGGGTTTGATGCCAATGTATAAGATTACTGCTCTAAATATGCAAGTTGTGTGCCCTCAATTCTTGTGGCAGTGAACTCTGGAGCTCACCTCTCCCCACCATGTCCCATTGCTATAGTTAAAATCAGTACATGTGCTCAAGCTGCAACCCCCTCAGTATAGAAGTGAGGGGGCTGCTGGCAGGGCACACAGAGTACGTGAGGGTCCCTCAGCTTTGGAACTCATTCAGAAGCAGTCCACATTTTCAGGCCTTTAGGGTCATCTTTTCCTGGAGGCTTTAGGAGAGAAGCACATTGTACATGCAGGGGTAGAGATGGGGGTTCACACTGTAGAGAGGGTGTGGTCATTTCACCCACTTTCTTCTTTGCTAAAAGGTCTGATTGATTTTGTCTACTGTTGTATATGGTGGAGGTTGCTGCTGAGATTGTTTGTATGTTTAAATGTGTTCTTAGGTACTTATCAAAGGAGCCTGGGGCTTGGGCTAGCCACCCTGTCAGTTACAGAACTTGTGACATGGCCTCTTTGGCCCCATATACTGCAAGATATGAAGCAGTTCATTGGGCAGCTTTATTTGTTCACTGGATTGGATAGAAAAAACTACCCTATCCTGCAGAGTTTTTCTACTAAATAATTTTCAAATTTGCTGATGCCTTGTTTGATGGCTCAAGAAATTTATCCACTTACACAGATCATCTGCCTGTAGTGAACAGAAACAAAAGACGTATACTCCGTTAAGAGTAACACTACCATAGTTCTAAATCAGCAACTATAAAGATGAAGAGGTTTATCTAACCTAATCTCTTACTTAGAAAGAGAGTTATAAAATTTGGCTGTAAGCAAGTTAAAAAAAGCATTTAACTCGTTTTCCCCTTTTTTCAGTATAAATCAAGGGTAGGGGGTGCCCAAAATACAGCTCAAAGAGAATCCATGGCAGCTTGCAACCTTCCTGTAACTACAGGGCAAGAGGGCAAAGCTGGTCAAACTGCAGGTTTTTATATTGGGGAATTCAAGAGAAAACAATCCTTTAGTCATCTGTGAAGGAAGATGCAAGCTCAAGCCCATTTTCATAGAATCATAGAATATCAGGGTTGGAAGGGACCTCAGGAGGTCATCTAGTCCAACCCCCTGCTCAAAGCAGGACCAATTCCCAACTAAATCATCCTAGCCAGGGCTTTGTCAAGCCTGACCTTAAAAACCTCTAAGGAAGGAGATTTCACCACCTCCCTAGGTAACCCATTCCAGTGCTTCACCACCCTCCTAGTGAAAAAGTTTTTCCTAATATCCAACCTAAACCTCCCCAACTGCAACTTGAGACCATTACTCCTTGTTCTGTCATCAGGTACCACTGAGAACAGTCTAGATCCATCCTCTTTGGAACCCCCTTTCAGGTAGTTGAAAGCAGCTATCAAATCCCCCCTCATTCTTCTCTTTTGTGGCTGTGTGCATTCACTTTTTATTTTAAAATATATGAATAAGTGATCTAAGTGCTGCCCTAGTAAGCAGCCAATCAGGCCTGCGATGCCGTGAAGTTGACTAGCATGCAGCCCTACACTTTGACTAGAGATACATAGCATTGGCTGAGTCACGGTCTTCAGTCTGATTGGGTTTATTTTACATAGCCAGAGTTTAGAATATTTTTGTAAACAATTTGTGTATGCACATAATGCTTTTCTCACCACTGAGCTTTTCTGCAGATGGGTAGTTTTAAGAACAATTTACATTTAGGTGTGTTTCTCTTACACTATATTTACAGACCTGCCAATGCTCAGTTAAGGTTAATTTAGTTTCCTTACAGGCTTTGCATGCATTATGAAAGCAGACATTTCCTATCCCATATGAGGCATATCCTATGGAAAGAGGTTTTCTGTTTTTAATGCCCTGCAATACTTTAACCACCAACTTCAGTAACTACATATTTTCCAAACCCACTGTCATCTGATTCAATAGAGAGAAAGGACATAAAAAGCCAGCTACCTTGTGGAAATGCCTTTTATCCCTACTAAAGCTTGAATACCTGCTCTCTAGAATATTTTGCCACCTCCCTCCCCACCCCAAACACATGCTGGCCCTCACCCTCACCCACCGAGCAAAAGTCAATTCAGAGCAATACTACCACCCCCCACAAGCATTATGATTTAATGCATCTCTCACATAAGACAGGCCAAAGGAAAATACTGATGCAGCAAGTGTTTCAACTTCATGCTTTGCAACATTAATCAGTTTAGATGGGCAGAATATACTTACTGCTAGGAACAGCATGCAGTACATAGAGAATGAAGAATGCCCAGAGTAAAATGACAGTCTGGAAGAGAAAAAAAATAGACATATTAATCACTTTTCACTTACAAAATAACAATAACGTGTTGCAGGATAATTTACAGTCTCTCTAGAAAGTGAGCAGGTAAAATGCAGATGTCCTCACATTTTTTTTATACAAAGACACTATCTTTGCAATGAGTTCTACCCCACCCCCAGAAAGGGGTTCTTTCAATGCAAATTTCTATATTAGGATCTATAACTATAGAGTGGATTTAATTATCTAATAGCTACACTGGATTATCTTTGGTGGATTAGCTCCCAAACCAAGACAACTATTTAGGCAGTAATTACCAGTAACAATTCACTGATTAAAACGTAAGTGGAAAAGGAGTGCCTCCTGAAATGTAAATATTTCAGGTGGCTTTTTAAAGCAATATATTACAAGACTTGTGTTTTATCTCCCAGATTAATATGAAAGAGCCATCACTCTCACTTGCATGTTATTAACAAAAGAAGTTTAAATCTAATCCTGTGAAAGAATGACAGAACCTAAAGAACAAATACAGACGCTCCCCGACTTACGCAAGCGTTCAGTTATGGAACGCCTTGCGTAACTCAAATTTTGCACAAGTCGGAAATGTATACCCGACCATTAAGCAAAAAAAAAAAAAAAAAAAAACACCCAAAAAAACCCCCACCTCCTGTTTCTAGCTTACGGCACTTTTTCTGTACGTGCGGATTTGCATAAATTGGGTTTGTGTAACTTGGGGGGTATCTGTACACAATATAATCTGAAAGAAAGAGGAAAAACCTGACTGCAGATATCAGGGGAATCCTGAATCAGTCAGCGTGTATTTAGTATATGTGAACTGTCCTGTAAGGGGTGGGGCTCATTTCTCATTTACTTAGTTTTTAGACTAGAGATGATTCATGGCACTGTCAGTATTTTTCAGTTCTTGGAGGGATATTATTGAAAACAGTATCCTAATAGTAGTAGTCGTAATATTGAAAATGGTAGGGAAATGGAGATTTTTTTTTTCCTGGGGGAGAGGAGGGAAAGTGACATATCATTGATTCTTTTAAATTTTCAGATATAGTTACCTCCTTTTTTCTATCTAGAATGTGTTAAATTACCAATTTAGGAGTTTTATCACATCCAATCCACTCATTACTAACCGGATCATTTTTTCTTCTCAAATATAGAAAGCACTCCTTTTACATTTCTTTGCCTATCACAGCTTATACCTAGGCCCAGTCTATGCTTAAAAATTTAGGTCAACATAGCTATGAGCCTCAGGAGAGTGAAAAGTCCACACCCCTGAGTGACAATTATGGTAATCTACCCCAGTGTAGACACAGCTAGGTTGTTGGAAAAATGCTTCTACTACTACTACTACTATTGTCTGGGAGGTGTTCCTATACTGCTGGAAAAACCCCTTCCATCAGTGAAGGCTGTTTTTATGCAAGTATATCTACAGCACCATAGCTACATCAGTTTAGTCCCCATAGTGTAAAATATTTCCAGACATATGTCTGGGACCAAACCACGCACCAACTTATACCCTGTGTAAGCTCAATGGGCAACATCACTGATGAGTCTAGGTAGAATTTGTCTGAACAGAACAGGCACCAACTGAAGGTTTTTCTTCCTTCTACTAAACAAAGCCTTTGCCAGGTTTTAACTGAGACCGTTAAAAGGTCTATTCAACATTCCCCTGCGCACAACCTCTCTCTTCCAAAAGCAGCTATCAGAACATTCCGTCTATCAAGCCAGCCAAGTGGTTGAACATTCCACGCTTCTTCACGATGCTATGAGTGCTAGCTCACCACAGACAAGTATTCACACATGCAGCAGCAGCACCCCATATCTGAAATATCAGTCTGTTTTTCTTTTTTAAAAACAGTTTAAACTAAATGTAAGTCACTCCAGTAACAACTCATGCGTCAGGCATAGTAGCTGCCAGGATGTATGTTATTGTTTCATGACAACTGGCTTTATATATTTTTGCTAGAGATGTTTATTTCAATAAATCTGATAATACAAACACATGGCATTTCTTATTTTGACACTCTCCACTCTGGCTGCTGAGTGTAATGCTGACATCCTTCTTTTGCAATAAGCTAGTTAGTCCACAGAAGGCCACCTAGTAAATGGATCACTTCCAACAAAAACACACTGCTTCACTTAACCAGGAAAGAACTCAACATTAATTCTTTTCAATTGGGCAATGCAGGCTCAATGTAACTTATCCACTTCTACCCATTTGAAAAACCCCTCAAAAAAAGCAAAGTCAATTTTACTCTAATTGCTAATTCTATCAGAAGTAAGATTTTAGAACACACTGTGCAAAGTACTGTCAGACAAGGTAGTTTTTATAAGCGATTCATAACCTTTAATCAACTGCTACAGCGTTTTCATAATGCCATCACAATAACTGTGCCATAAGTCTCACATGGTTTGTGTTAAAAGTCAAAGTAAATTTGACAGCTACATTTTCCAAGTTAGCAATAACTACTTCAGCCCGTTAATACAAACTCACATTTCACAGAATTGTATTTGAATTGTTCTTCCAAATATAGGAGACTTCTGTAAGGAGCTATTTTACACCTCTACCCCGATATAACACAAATTCGGATATAACGTGGTAAAGCAGTGCTCCGGAGGGGCAGGGCTGCGCACTCCGGCAGATCAAAGCAAGTTTGATATAACGCGGTTTCACCTATAACGCAGTAAGATTTTTTGGCTCCCAAGGACAACGTTATATCGGGGTAGAGGTGTATATTTAACCAGATTTCCCTTATTCACAATAATCAAATCCCTTCAAAATGCTTAGTTTCTAGCTTGACACATTCATTCTCTGAGAGTCAAAAGACCAATTTTAACCTACAAACAGGCTTATCACACATATTCTAAAAAGAGTTACCTTTTCCTATCAACCCTGGACACCAATAACAAGGACTGAAACATTCCACATTGTGCAAAACCTCTTCAACCAGGCTTTGCACAAGGAAGTTTCGCAAGGGCTGGGGGAAAATGTAGCTTCCCACTACAAACCCCTATGCAGATGGTATTACTCTGAGGATCTGCACTGTGCTTCTCCAGTACAGCCCCCAACTCCTGTACAGTGCTGTAGAGCGCTCTACCTTGGCAGGAGAAGATTTGGGGGTGCTCAAGCAAAATGAAAACTGTACCTAGATCTAAGTCATTCACAGTAAAACAGTCAGTAATATTTTTGGGGTCCTTTGGCACCTCTGTAGTCTGTTTAACAGAAAACAAGCTCTGAATCAGAGCCACTCTCGGAGCCATTGCAATGAACTCTACTGAGAACAAATGATCAAAGTATAATTTATTCTAAAGCCTTTTTAACTTCTGTGATCCTACATAGAGATTTTGGGCTTGGACGATAAAGCTACGGTGTTATGAAAACATTAGAGAAAAGCAAACGTAGCCCCAATTTTCAAAGAAGAAATTAAGAGTGATCCTAGCAATTACAGTCCTGTATGTCTGTTTTGTAGCATTAGTAAGATAATGGAATAAAATGCAGAGGAAAAAACATCAACATTACAGGTCCCTTTGAAAGAAGCAGCATGGTTTAGAGAATAAATCTTGCCAGATAAAAAGCTTTGTTCTTTTATGAGCACTACCAAATTAGTGGATGAAGGAACACTGTATGCGTCACGTATTTGGAGTTCAGTAAAGCATTTGATACGATGTCTCACATTTTCTTGGAAACTAAAATTCAGTTAGAGCGGATAGAAATACTCATGTGGATGGAAGACTGGTTAGGAAACTGAAAAATAGTCAAAGTGAAGTTCATTCTACACACAAAATTGCTGTTCATTTAACTAAAACATTTTTAAAATCACCAATTAAACTGATGCAAAATGCCACTAAAAGACATTAAATTGAATTAAGTAGATTCCTTACCAAATTAAGCTAATCCAATATAAACCTGTTTGATTAAAATAGATTTTAGTTAAACCAGAGCAAGTTGTGTGAAGTTCAGCTAGTAGGGTGCTGCAAAGATCAGGAATAGAGCTAGTCTAATTCAAGTGTTTTGCACACAATACCAAAAGGAGGAATTGCTAACCCAAGTGAGGACAGAGAAACCATACAAGTGAACACAGAAAGAGTAAAAAGGATATGGGCTGAAAACAGAAGATTCAGCTTGGGTGAAAAAAGGGGGGGATGGGGGAAGGGCGGCAAAATAATAGATCTAGGAAAAATAATCTAGCACACACTAAACAAGATCACAGAATACAAAGAACTGAAATGCTAAGATGAAAGGTAATAATGGACAGCATGTTAAATTTGAATTTGTCATAATATATTGGCCATAAACAAGACAAAAGCAACTCTGGGTTAAAAATGCCAGACTTCACATAGCAGGGAACTCTCTATATGACTCTGGTACACTTGCACCTGCATTACAACTATATTTCCTGGGATCCCATCACCAGAAAGATATTGCATGGCAGGGGAGGAACCAAAGACAACTCTGGGGGGAAAAAATTAAACAGATGACCGAATGAACTGATTTAAGGAAGGAGAGGTTAAAGTGCCAGACCTGTATAAGTTGGCTAAACAAGGAGTAGTGGGGAGAAAGTAGTCTAAACATATCAAAAGGGCATAAATAAGGAGGAGAAGAGTTTAGTGTGGCACAAGGAAGTTACAACTAGGAGACATGGGATGAATTGAAGGGAAAATGGAGGCTGAATACTAGGGCAACCTTCCTGATCTAGAGGTATATTAGACTGATTTAAAGACAGTGATGGAAGCCCCATCACTTGGGAACATTAAACCTAGTCCAGTCTAACACACTAGCAAATCTACAACAGGGAACAACCCCACAATGGTAGGGAAGAGGACCAGATGAGCACAGAATGGAAAAATTTAGACCAGACAAGCTATGCATTGCAGTTTTAATCAAATATTTAAAAAAGCCAAAGAGCTCTGTATACGAAGCAAGGAATTATCCTTAACATTTTAAATGGTCAGGACATGATCTAACAAATTATATACTTTAGTCTACATATGTAGAA